AAGAAGTGAAACGGCATCGATGTTTTGATCTTCCGGATTATAATTATTGGTTGTTGTCATCTGTTGTCTGGAGAGCGTTCCACTTTTTCTTTTTGGTCCGTAACCCAATTCCAAACATTTCAATCGCGCTTCAAAAGAACACCTACAAAGTTTATAAATATATGCGAAAATGGAATGTTTGAAAAGTTTTATTTTATGTTTTATTTTAGGATCGCGACATTAAATGGATAATCTTACCCGGTGGATAGTTACCATTATGATCTTTTTTTTAATTCGTTGGTTCGCTGTCGTCTTCTAGGTTAACTTCAGTAGTATATTGATACTCCGCGATTCCACTATTTCCTTTCACTGTGAATCTGCTGCTATCCTTAACACTGCATTGTCCATCGACTTGGCTGTAGGTCCATATGTTGAACCTCATTCATTTCACTGTACATCTTTGATGAAAGATGGCCCTATTGCTGCAAGCACCAAGAGGGCTCACAAAGAGCCTGGATTTACCAGAATTCGAACCGGCAACCACGAAATCGTGTATAGGGCGACTTAACCATTCGGCTATTAGTCGCCCTGATGTTTGAAAGTACGATTTTTTTTGGTGGATGAGCCTGGTATATTTTTTTCATAATTGCAGATATTTGATGTAAAATATTACTTTTCAAAGTTAAAATTAAAAGATTCTATTTATATTTTTATTTAATATTTTTTTCTTCTAAAATGTTAAAATTTTCTAATTAAATTAGAACAATATAAATGTACATAATAATTAAGTAGTTAGAAATTAAAGTACTATAAGAAAATTGCATATAATTTACGTTAATTATGTCATAGTAATGACATATGACGTTGCTATAGAAATGTAATACATGTATCATTGATAATACACAATAATATATTACATTATTCTTTCGTGTTAATTTTATATTGTTTGCAAGTAGTATTATTTGCATATTTTATAGACAATAAAAGAGCGTTAAAGAAATGCAGTAAATCGAATGTGTTTATTCAATTTGTTAAAATAGAATTTATGTCTGTATGATCGTATCAAAGTTGCATTCGGACACAAAACAAACGTTGAATCATCGCCAAATTTAATATGTTCTAGTCCTTATAGCTACTACCACTTATACATTCTTAATCATGCAGCTTAGTAAGGCAAATGACACGGTTTTCTATTTATGGTTGTATATAGTCACAGATGATTTTCTTATTATGAATAACTATTAATATAAATATTGATTAGTACACTTAATTACAGTTTAATTACAAAATGTATAAAAGATAAAGTAAAAAATCATAGATTAAAATATTGATATTTTTAAATATATTATTATAGAAGATTTAACAAAATTCTGTGTTTTTTTTTGTTGAATCTTCTATAATTATCGAACAAAAACATTACAATTAGTAAACTGAAATGTGTTTATAAATTAATATTGTTTAAAATTTAACGTGTTTTTGTTGTTTATTTTTGTTTCTATTAAAGTAAGTTAAGCAGAAGAACCTAAGAAAAAGGAACTTATAATTCTCTTCTTTTATTGAGAACAGAATATAACCCATTTGGTGTAAAGAAATCTATACTTTTTCTATTTATTTGTTGTAAACATTAGAAATGAAGGACTAATTCAGCTGATGTCTGCAAATTTTTGGTAAAATAAAATAATTTACTTTTGTTTTTTATAGACAGGTCAAAAGATTGTCATAAAGTTTTGTTAATAACGTAAAAAAATAAATTAATTACGTATTTCCATAAAAAAAGCAATTGAAAGTGGAAAAATTCAGAGTTTAAACAATATTTGCTTAAGTGCTGGAAGAAATGAGATAACTGTTGAAGTAAATGTAGCGTTTCCAGTTTAGATTTACGACTTTTCTATATAATTAACAATTAAAGTATATAGAAATGAATTGTTAATGTAAGAAAAAGTCTATTTCTATAAAAATATCGACAGTGTTACAAAATTGTATGCAAGTATTTCAAATTGTCAAAATGTCATTTGAATTACGTTTTTAATTATATTCGAAGCAATCGAAATTTATGTTTTTTTTTGTACATGAAACGTCTGGAACGAATTGCGAATGTAACAACAACCTTCGAATTGCACGAAGTGAAAAGGCATAGTTCACCTCAGAGGCAATATGAAAATAACCCGACCGTGGGCCGAGCACAATTTGGAATCCGAAATAATAGAAATGATCCACAATTAGAATCCAAGAAAGCATATTGTATTACGGCAATGCGGCAAGGTGTTGTGTTGTCATGGAGATTTAGTATATAACACACGAATTGCTTTAAAAATCATATGGAAATTTATTGGATGATGAACATCTTTGCGTAAACGATACGTCTCTCCATATAATTCCTTGCCTCTTCTCCCGCGTTCTCTCGAAATTTAGCTCTATATTAGCATTTGGAATTTTACCTGCCGCAGAGGCAGTCCCTCCGGTATCAGTATTAGTTTGGTGGTTAGTAGTAGTAGTAGTGAATTTTCATCAAGGACGGAAATAGAGGCACGGCAATAGCAGTGGGGCAATAAAAATAGAAATGATATATGTTGGTTCGACTCGAATTGGTGGCTCTCTCATACTCCTTCTCTCTATCTTTCTTTTGGTAGGCTGCGTTTTTGGATACTGTAAAACATTGCAGAACGGACGGACGATTAATTTTTTACCTCAATAAACATAATCCTCGATGCAGTAAACTTAATCCCCATTTAGCGCTAATTGCAAGAAACGCAATACTCGGAAAAGAAAAATAATTACTCATTTCTGGTTTTCCGTTTGAACTATAAATTATGTTTGGAATTTAACGTCCAAACATTTGCAAATATTTATTGTTCGAACCACGAGATTTTCTTCTATTCCTTTTTTCGGCGGAATGAAGAGAGAAAGAAAGAAAGAAAAAAATGATTTTTTTTAATGATTCCTTTCGAAATAATACCTCTGATCACTGCCAAAATACACAACATAATAACATATCTTAGCGCTGTTATGTAATTTGTTATTGTTCGGCTTCAAAATTATTTTAAATCCAAATTGTATCGTTAATAAACTTATTCATCGAGACATTTTCGTAAGATCAAAAGTAAACAAACTTAATTACTTTCCAACTAAATATTAACATTATAAAACAAAATTTAAACTAATTAACTAACTAATGGTTTTTTTTTAATATAATTATCATTACAACCCAAATTTATACAACATTTTCAGAATTATTTAATTCTCATTTAACGTAAATTGTTTTACATATTTAATTGAAAAAAAAAAATGACGAATTTTGAATAATGATGCTTGAGATTTTCTACAATAATTTCAAAAAGTTTCGTTTTGGCTTGGCATTGTGAAAATGAAAGTCTTAAAAAGAATGTTGTATGAAAATTATCTCTAAATTGATCAATAGGGCGAATGCCGGGTGTCTCCAAACAGTGTTAGTAACTACCCCAGCTTTCACATTTTTTTCTTGGGTGTTAACCCAAGTTCCCCCGTAATGGGGGGTCTCAAAAGGTTGTTATTATTAGGAATTATGCGTTCCTAGAAAATATTCTAATCTGTATTTATTTCCTACAAATTTTTTATTTCCAATATTTTTCTTAATGATCAGAATCCAAATTCAATTATGAGATGTAACTGGTATAGTTTCTTTAAAAAGATGTAGTCATCGATGGATATTGTTAAAATTAATTATTTCCATGACAACAAATTCGTGTCAATGACGTAATGTGTAATTATTTCTTATTTAAGTAAACTGAATAAATTAAATGTTAATTATTTCAATTCATTAAATATTATATTTATAATTTTCTCTTTCAATGTGATATATAAAAAAAGAGTATATTTATCTTCAATATTAACAAATATTAATCTTCTTCTACATCTGGTGACTGCCTCTTGCGATTTCTTCAAATTGAAGATTATGATGACAGTATTTCTTTTTTCGGCGGAATGAAGAGAGAAAGAAAGAAAGAAAAAAACGATTTTTTTTTAATGATTTCTCTCGAAATAATACCTCTGATCACTGCCAAATACATAATTTGTTATTGTTCGGCTTCAAAATTATTTTAAATCCTAATTGTATCGTTAATAAACTTATTCATCGAGACATTTTCGTAAGATCAAAAGTAAACAAACTTAATTACTTTCCAACTAAATATT